ATAATGGTTGGAGACGACTTGAATGGGTAATGAAGAAAAACCTTAATATAAGTTTAACATAACAGCAAATGTACAACGTTTCGACTAAGGTTTTGTCATCATCAGGTTGAACATTCACTGTTATATTAAACTTGTATTAAGGTTTTTCTTCATTACCCATTCAAGCCGTCTCAAACCATTATTACTCTCAAAGTGGGTTCCTCGTCATCGAATATAATGAGTAAAGCAATATTTTGTGAATTGTAATCGAGTTATTTTCAAATTTTTTAGAGGATTGTCTACTTTAAAAAAAAAGAGTCCGAGGATAATTGACTGATGAATTTAGGGACAAGACGTTAAAAATGATGAGTAATATAACCCAAAAACAAAAAGATACATATCTAGTATAAACTAATTCCCATTAAAGATTATCTAAGAATAAAATGATTAAATAACCATAAAATGTTAAGTTTTTGAAACGGAACAAGAGTATATTATTATTATTATAAGTTAAATACAGTATAAAAAACACCCCATTTATCAAATGATTATGTATATAATTCTATTGTGTTACTAATCGTATTGGAAGTTCTGGTTAAGTACCTAGATTAACGAATGAACAGTTTTTCAAACCGATAACGTATCTTCGATGTTTTTGCTTCAGTAATTTAGCTCAGTTACTGTGAATTAAGATTTATTTTAAAATATTCGTTATTAAAAGTTGAATACGTACCAGTGTTGCATACGCCAGCATATACCCAGCACTGGCCGTATTTCACAGGAACACCTTTGGTCTTTAAGTATTGTTCCAATATGGCGGAACTCCCAGTCCACATCCAGGGAGCGGTGCCATCATCGTAAGGCTCTTCCCATTTACCTTCTACCACACCTTTATCGTCAACGTCGTTTATCTTAAAACAAAAGAGAACTTTACGACTTACTTTAACCAAACTCATCATTAAGCAGGTACACGATTAGATTGCGAAGTAATAACAAAGGTTTTTGTTTATTTCGAGGATGGTTAAATGAAACTTGTAGTATATTCCAATATTTATTTATTACGAAATAAACGATAATATTAATTTTGTGCATAAATAAAGTTAATCAAGTAAACTTTCATTCTTTTGGAATGGTTTATGTTATAATACACTGAATTTGTTTATAATTCAACTTTTGTATTATATACAAAAAGAATATTGATTTTTTTCACTATATCAGCATCGTCAGTTCCAGGCAGAAGACTTTATACATTCATTTTAATTAAGAATCATATGCATAACAATTATAATAAAATATCCTGGTTCTCATTTTACGGTGAAGAAAAATTCCGGAAAATGCATTACACATATTAAACAAACAGTTTTCTTTCATGGACATTTGTAAAATAAATGAATTGTAAAGGAGAATTCAAGTTCGTAAAATGTGTATCTTCTGACTTAAATTCAAAAAACTTATATCATATAACATGTAACTGTTCACAAAAAGAGACAGAAAAGTTAAGTCAGTAAACGGAATTAAAAATTGTTATCAAAATGAAATAACACAGAAAATTAGCGGTGAAAAGAAAAAAAACTCTTACCAAGGCTGAAAGAGCTCGCGCTATTTTTACTGGATCAGATCGATCAGTAAAATCTAAACGAGATCGTTCCAATATAAACATTGCCGCTGGCAGAACTGCCTCTGTAAACTGGAAATATAAGGCGTTAAATAATTTTACCATCATAAATATATATTTACATGGGTTTTCTTCGAGTAACTAGAAAATTAGGTCAAACCCGTTTGGATATGTAGCTATGAACACAATATTTTTAAACGATAGCAAGAATCAGTGTTTTAATAACACATGCATGTAAAACTTAAAAAACAAAAACAAAGAATACTGTTACACTTAATACATTTGTGAAAAATATAAAGTTTTCAATATTTTCCTTTTGAGTACATCAGTAAACTTGGATTACTTCGAGATTGCTCACTTAAAACAAAATTAGTTCTAAGTTGTTTTTTTTCCTTCTCCCAATTCCCTGGTGAAACAAGGGTAACCTAACAGAGTTACAACGCTAAAATCCAGGGTTCGATTCACGCGGTGGACATAGCAAATAACCCAATGTGGCTTTGCTTTAAAACAAACAAATCTTAATTCCAGAATATGTGTAAAAGTCACATGATTTTAATTTTAATAGAATATAAATATGCTTAATATACGATATAATATTTTCTACATTATTACAATGTCCTGCTGATTTTCATATTTGAATCTAAAGTATTTTGAAAACTTAATTTTAGTTTTCGCTTTAGGAAATTTACGATATCTTTTTAACATGACATTTTTATAACATCACTTTTTTTTTTCACGATAGCTTATAATTTTATACTGAGATTCTCAAGCACGTTTAAATTCTAACGTTTTATGATTGAATCGTATCTTATCTATAAATAAAACATGAAAATAACATATATCGCTTCAGAAAAATGTGTATGAAGACTATAACACCCCAGAAATAATTATATGTCAGGTTTTTGTCACATTAAATTATATCAAGTATTATTAGCTTTATAAAACAAAATTATAAAGAGTATGTTTAAATAGTTATACCTGACCCAAAATCCAGCGCCGGCCCATTGGTTGATTATATGATCCAATAAATATTTTTCCTACATCGTTCAAAACATACTCTTTTCTCCACTGGTCGTCAGCCATATATACAGAATCATCTAATGGCAATAAAACAGCTAAATACGTTTAGAAAGTGGTATACTTTAAACCCCCGGCAACCTAATCTTTATTGTTAAGTATCTATACCAAAAGTTATTGAACAAATGCACGCACAAAGACACATGTTAGAAATAAAATAAATAAATAATATTGAGCTATTTATCCTCTACTTAAAGATCTGATTTGTAAATGACTTAAACAAAATTAATAAAACTAATATTTCTCTTACTTAATCTAGTTCACGCCATAATAGTTGCTGTTCATGAAAACGATGATATTAACAATGTCTAGACCACTGCACGATGATTGTCGTTTCGCAGTCGACCAGATTAACCCCAGTATTGAGCAAAAAGTCTCGTCGGCACTGGATATGGTAGATATGGTGTGGTTGGTATATTATAAAATATTCTTTCACTTTCTCGGATATACTCACCTATATATATGGATTTATATATGATGGTTGAAGTATGTTCCTTGTGCTTATAGTATTGTCAGTTGAAACTGATTTCCCGACAAGTATCAGACAAGCAAACTCGCAAAAAAACAGCAGATTCAATCAAGAAATGAGGGAAATGTTCTGTAGTTGACAACTCAACTGAATTTTAAGTTGAATGAGAAATAAACAGATTGGGCACATTTAAATGACAGTGAAAACAACCTTTATTTTGGTACAACATACAAAATAATATGTGTGTACCTGCGTAGACAAGTAGACGATCGCCTCTACTGGATCAGTAAACAACTCGCCAGCTTTCGGTCTCTTAAGTACCCGTATTTAGAATGGCCCAGCATGGCCAGGTGGTTATGGCGCTTGACTTACAATCTGAGGGTCGCGAGTTCGAATCCCCGACCCATCAAACATGCTCGCCCTTTCAGCTGTTGGGGCGTTATAATGTGACGGTCATTCCCACTATTCGTTGACAAAAGAGTAGCCCAATAGTTGGCGGTGGGTGGTGATGACTAGCTACCTTCACTCTAGTCTTACACTGCTAAATTAGGGACAGCTAGTGCAGATAGCCCTAGTGTAGCTTTGCGCGAAATTCAAAACAAACCAAAATTGTATTTCGAACATCACCTTGCTTTCCACTGGACAGCGCCACCTTGTGACCTCAGTTTTCTGAAAACATTGACCAACTATCAGTTTTATTTGTCGTCATAGTTCGACCAGCAAGGGATTTTCCTGTTTTAACTAGTTCAAACCAGGCTGAAGATACAGTACTGAAATATGCTTGCGGGCAGAAAACATAATCGAACAAAGGGCTGAAGTGGCTAAAACAAGATAATGTTAGGCACCTTAAACCACATGTTGCCACCATGACAGCGCAGAAACTAAATAGTCAACAAGTTGGGATAATTCTGTGTTACCACAGAAGATAGGGGAACATGGCATGCTTACATCGTTATATTTTTATGATCAACGAATAAAAAATATAGAAATGAATATTATTAGTTTCTCGCGTTTAATGTTTGATTGATGGTTAACAAAGCTATCATTTGTTAATGAAAATGTTACAAACGTTTCCCAAATACTTAAGCATTTAATCATATTGAAAAATAGTTCAATCAATCATTCTTATTTTTTTAATAGTTTCTTAAAATATGAGTTATAACATTTACCATAGCAGTTACGTGATGTCTTTACGAAAATGATCAAATGTCATAAGAATGGAGATGTCTAGTCAGAATACTAAAGGATATTTTTAGCGGTAATTCCAAACATATCTCACGAGGTTTTTCCATCTTATATATTTAGTTCAGTCTTAAATCCACATATTAAGATAAAATAATTTGCTTGAGTGTAAAACATAACAATGATACATAATGATAGGGTTTTAAAGTATTAACCAATGCGCCCCCCCCCCCAGTGACACAGCGGCATGTCTGCGGACTTACAACGATAGAATCCGAGTTTCAATACCCGTGGTGGGCAGAGCACAGATAGCCCATTTGTAGTTTTGAGCTTAATTACAAACAAACAAATTAACCAATACAATATTTAAAACTAAAAAAAAAAAAATAATAACCACAAAAACATATATTTGCTCCAAAGATTCCAACACGAATACATGAAACATAGATTAGTTACAATTGGTTCATGTTTTTGCAGTAGTCCATCAACAAAAACTAATCGAATATACGTAAGAAGTTAAGAACTGTAAACACACGAAAACTAGCCACTAAGTTACAAAAAATAGCTCGACAAAGGTGTAAGGAAATGGCCGTATAATTTTCCCAACAAAAGAGAGCATAACAAACAAAAAACGATTTAGTTTAAAACCCCAGATAAACGCTTGTATTTGTTTGTTTCAGAATTTTTACGCAAAGCTACACAAACGGTTATCTGCGCATAGCCGTCCATAATTTTGAACTAATAGAGAAAAGTAATGGCAGCTAGTCAAAGCACTCACCACCAACTCTTTGGTTGGTCTTGTCGAAGCAAATAATGGGGTTTGATTGTCACTTCTATAGCGCATCCAATGCTCTAAAGTGCGAGAGTATTTTCTGAGACAACGGGCGGTGAACCAAGAATCATCGGATTCACAGTCCGAGTACATCAACCACAAGCCACGCCTCATATAAGTGGTTTCGGACACATTTAGCTATAAAGTCGTAGCTCGGTGGCTCAGCGATAAGCGAGGGCTTATAACACTATAAATTGAATTTTGATACCCGCTGTTGGCACAGCACAGATAGCTCTTTGTGTATCTTTATGTTTAATAACAAATAGACAAACTATAGAGTCAGTAACATGAAAATACAGGAAGTAAAGCAACAACTGATGCTGATGTATATATAGGAAGCATAGGCGCCGATCGTGGGGGAAGGGTGGGACAGGTCCCTTGCATCTTCAGCAGTGGGTTGACGTTATATGTATCTATCTCCTCATGTCCAAAACATCTTAAACATATATATATATATATTCCACAATATCTTTGTGTGTGTGCATATTGTTTCTGACTTGTTCCGTGATGGTTTCCAAGGTTTTTGTACCAAATCGAACCCTATGTGAAGTGTAGCGCACTACTGTAGCCTACGGCCATCTTTTAGGGTGTCCTAATGCTTTAATGAGCATACAAAGTGCGCTTTGATGCACCATAAATGTACAAACAATGCACGCTTTCCAGCAGAAATTTCATTATTTTAAACCCATAAGTCACCACATCTTTAAAAAAAATTAAATAGAAACGGCGGAGTCGATTCCAGTAAATCTGAACGAACATGTTTTTAAACAAAATATTAAATGTTACTAATTAAAAAAATTTCAAAACATTGATCTTACTTAGTTAGTGAAAATAGAAAAAGAAAAAAAAATACCCTTATTAAAGTTTAAAGAAAGTAAGTCGTAATTATGTCAACTAACCTAAAATAAATTAAATGCATCACAGGCATTTGAAGTAGATTAAAGGCAGGTGACTTGTTTTAGTTTTAGTTTTAGAAAGCGAAGAGGTAACGAACTCATTAGAACCTTAATTACCTCCTCCACAGACGGTGACGGAGATTATTGTTCCACCCCTGTGTGTGTGTATGTTTGTTTGTTTGTGAGTTTGTCAGCAAGATTTCGCGAAAACGGCAGAGTGAATTTGGATGAAAGTTGGTCTACGCTTGGACTACGGTCCAACTTAGGAATGATTAGGTTTGGATGGGCCAAGGTCACAGTCAAAGAAATCTCTATCTGTTAACATGGAGACCGATTTTTCACACTATTTTTGCTCTATAGCTCAGTCAAAAATGATCGGATTTTGATGAATCTTGGTGGACATATGTAGAATATTAATACTCATTGTCCTGTGAAAAATTGTCCGTGTCCGTTCACATTTTAGTATTTTTTAGGGCCGAGTATGATCAACGCTGCGTGGCGGAGATATGTGTTCTACTGAGTGCCCTTTATTTCTTATTGTTTTATGTTACTACATTGAAAAAATAGTTGTGTTCCAAAACCCACAGTAGGGAGAACCTGTTTGGAAAATATTGAAATAAGTGACATTATTTATTTTTAAATAACAACATCTTGAAACGTTATTATTGTCATCATCATCATTATTATTATTACAACAATTATGTGATTATATTTTTCCATATGATAATGTCCCCCAGAGATTTGTTGGATACTGTTGCCTGGAGCGTGCGGGCGGATTTTGTTTCTGACACTTGTGTTCATGGATTCTCACTCTTTAGAAGACACTGTACTTTTCATACCATGGCTGGGGCACGGTTTGTGGCCCAAGTTGATCCATATAACATTGTTTTAAAATGAATTTAAGTATAAGATATATCACAGTCTTGAAAATTCTAAATCCTCTATCTAAACACATCTTTATGACCTGAGTGTATGGATATTTTGTGATCAGTTTCAGTGGTATCACATTACCTACAAAATGCCAAGCACTTTCAAAATGTAGTTCTGATACATTCTGTTCCACCACGACTTTATATCGGATGTGGTTGTCATGTGACTTCCTAGTTTGCCTGTTCACAATCGTTTTAATATAACATACTCAACCCTCTGAAGTTTACAACCTGTTCAAACTCGCGTTATCATGAACCACTATAATGGTTCATAATTAGGATCGCAAGGGTTTACACAAAACTCTAATAGAATGTTCGGGCAAAAAGCATTTTAAACAGTAAAGATTCAGTTAAACAACACTCTAAAACCTTTACTATTGACTGTTAAGGCTGCACACACATAAAAATGTACAACAAAATCATGCATGTTAGACTACAATAAAAAGCAAATTCGCTCAAAATGGCCCGTTTGTAATTTTGCTTCTTCTTCTTCTTATTATTCTCTTGCCAGTCTATAACAAAAACGGTTTGGTATATTGCACCCAAAAATTTGTATAATACAAAATAAGATACTGCGGAGGTCGTAGGTGCATTGAATAGTCGACTTGTTTCTTCTATATTTTACATAAGTTAATAAACATCATAATTCTAGTGTAAACGAATATATCACCACCCCCTGAAGCTAGCTTTCTTACAAATAAATGGTGTTCCTTTATAAAACTTAAGTACAGAGTGAAACAGGAATTACCAGTCAATAACAGAAGAACATTATATGACGGTAATACATAGATACTCAATGCTGTGTACACTATACAATCGAAGAGGCTGATTTTTCTTAATGGGGTTGTGTCTTAGTGTAGTCATATATTTGCCCATTGCTGTGCATTATATATAGAGAATTTAGTTACACAGAAACTATAAATGTTCACTATATTCTCAAACAAATTTCCATGACAATCTTGCTGCAGCTTAACATTTTACATCTCGAACTAATGCAATTAAGTAGTCAATAGCTACAGTAAATCATCATGAACCGTATCAGCTAGTTATTAGCTATGTTTATTGTCATTACAATGTATAAAGTTAGCTACCCTATCAAGTTATCCTTTGCCCATATTTTAGCATAACAAAGCCAACAAACAAGATAAATAAAAAATTGGAAATTTAAAAACTTGTAATTAGGGACTGTAAAAAGTAGGGAAACAAAGCTGAAGATACTGTAGACATTATTTACTCAAACTACAAATCTCTAGTTTGACTTCACCAAATGTAATTCTAGGTAACAACGTGGAGCCAAAATAGGGGTTTGTAGTTAGGGTAAATAATGTCTACAGTATCTTCAGCCTTGTTTCTTTACTTTTTTACGACCCCTAATTGCAGATTTTTAAATTTCCTATTTTTTCTTTATCTTGTTAACTAGTATGAGGCATATATCCACATTAATTAATATTCATATCAATTATCAGCATGAATTATTCATTTAAAAAGGAGTGAAACAAGAGCCATTTGAGTGATATAAACTAATGATATAGTTTAGATAAACTTATGTTATAACTAACTGTTTTAAATCATTATTTTATTATTATTATTTCCATCTCTGTAGTTTTAAATATTATCTCACCAATAGACCAAGGATTAAACAGGATATAGATATCTTCCTTGCATTCGTAGGTGTTTGGCAACGAGACTGGCTTCCCGGATATAATTAACGTTGACGTAATTTTCATCTTCCAAATTCCAACTGCCGCATTGGCAGGAATCCGAATTTGAAGAGTGACCACAGCGCCATTATGCTCGTGCAGTCGAACATCCCAGTGATCGTTGCCCTTAGTAAACTTGTTTTTGACAGTGACGGGCAACACAATGAGAGATCCTTCCTTACGATTAGGTTGAGATCCTAATAGAACAAAAGTAAATCTTAACTAGTTTAATATGAAATATTGCGGTCAAGGGAATTAGATGTGATAGAATAAAAAACGTATGACATAGATTTGTAGCAACACTTGTTCAGTTAATATTAAATTACACAAACAAACATATCAAACAAAACACTGTAATAAATAAGGTCTTATCATGGGCTTTATAAAACAACAACAACAAAAATATCCGAGTGTTCATTGTTATAGTATAAGTTATTATTGTATTAATTTCTGGCTCATGGCAATGATTGAGGTATGACTTCATTAGCTAAACTGTTTGTTTGTTGATGAACGCAAAGCTAAACATGGGTTGTTTATGTTGTGCTCACCGCTAGTGTCTGAATCCTGATTTTTAGCAGGATAAGCCCTCAGTTTAATCGCTGATCTAGGTGGTGGTGGGGAGGAGCAGTCTTGGGAATTACACTGATACTTTAAAGTTTGCTTTCTTAATTATCATAAATCATATAAAATATCAGACATTTAGAAAGTTTTCAAGAGATAGTTATTCTCGATGTACTTAGATTTTGGCAACAAGAAGGAAAATACTGGTTATAAACTCAAAATTTATTTTAATTAATTTATAAATTAATTAATGATGAGTTATCATGAAATGATGAATTTCAAACGTGATTTTTTCATTTCTGACAACAAATATAATCGTTTATTAAACTTACATTCTAAAACATGCATCATGCTGGATGAAAAAAATTACAAATTATACGAAAAGGAATTACCCATTTGTCACGAGACAATAAGTTTCCTTAAACGACCTCAATATGAGGTCAAATTGTTGTCTTACGTTACTCATTACAAAAACGCTTATTTAAAAAGGTAATATCTCGTAAAAAATATAAATATATATATATATAGAAAAATCATGAAGACAGGTGCACTGAAAATTTTGTAAATTTGTAAATACGTCCATGTTTAATCGTACTACCAATGTAAAATGTCTTATTTAATGTTTTCATTCATTCACATATGATTTGGTCATTCCCAGAAGAATCATGGGACAAATCAGCTAGTCTTTATTTCTTAGTCTGTTTTTTCCCCTTGGAAATACATATACAGCTCATATAATCAGTTAGTTTTTAATTAAAAAAAACTTTCATGTCCAGAAAGATCGTTTACCTATGATCAATAGTTAATAATAATGGTTTATCTTATATATATGTGTGTGTGTATGTAACACGTATTTATAAGTGGACATAAATTATTTCAAAATCCGTATTTTTATTTTTATCATAATTGACTACAAACTTGTAAAGTATGTCATAAGTTTAAATACACCGAAAAATATACATGTTATACCTGGAAGTTAGTCACTTTATTAGACAAAATATTATTCCATGTATATACGGACTCTTTTTACAAATAAAAATGACTAAATATACATATATGTACATTCATTCCCAATTACACTTAGAACTGACATCTCGTTATAAGTTCAAGTTGTGAGTTTGTACACACACAGAGTAGAACTGAATAAAAATAATTATTTTACATTTCTGTGAGAGAAGCGATTATATGTAGTTCAGGGATACTTGTCATACGGATACTAAACCTTTCATTGTTAAATAAGCCTAAACATGCACAGTTTTTTATCGACAATTCAGCGTATTGAGTAGAATGAACATCATGAAATTTTTGAAAAAATAGACGCTAGAAGAAAGCAAATCAGGTTATGCTACTTCGTAGAGGATATATATATTAATAAAACGTTTCAGCAATTTAACCCTTAACCACTAGGGTGGATCTATATATGTGACCTCAAGCGATTTTATTATTATTAATAAGTAGTTTTCATATTTTAATAAGATTCATATTTTTTGTATTGTTATACGTCAGTGTAAGTTATTTAAGGGTTAATCTTTTGCTTCCCCTTTGTTTGCGGATTATATCTGTTTTAATTAAACTAAATTATATGTATAAACTCACCAAACATCATTTCCAGCTTTACAAAGTCCTGTTGGGGATTAAAAGCCCGCTTAAACAGAACGGCAATGTAGAAAGGATAACCACGCCGAACAATCAAGACTGGTTTAGGACCTCTCAACAATTCATACGCGGACGTATGATGTTCGTATGCGTTATCTTGTTCGTAAGGTGAAACATTGTTGACTTCATTTGCTGTTTGATAGCCTATTGTCAAATCAAATAATATCAACATCAAAGAAAGTTTAACAATACATCCTTTAGAGGCTATAAACGAAATTCTCGATATTTTCTTTATTCCAGAGAGTTTTGACATTTGGTGGAATCTTACTATGCACATTCTGAAACAGTAACTACGTTTAGGTGCTCAGAAGATGAGAGAACACTGGTAAGAGCCCTCTTTCGTGATGATACAGAATAGAAAATATAAATCAGGATAAAATAGAAAAAGAACGCGTGGCTATGCTCTGTGTAAGGAAAGAAGCTGATCATTTTAAGAACAAAACTTTCAGGACTTTCCCGGTTCTCATCGGTCAAGGCTGTTCCCGTCATGAAAGAGGGGGCACTTCGAAACACAGTACCCCGAGAACTATGCTGACTCAAGGTCAGCGTTATTTCAGTTGCTTGATCTTGTGAAATAAGATACGACATATTCAACCAGACTCGCGTGACGAGTATAACACAAAGATAATGAGCAGTTGTTTGTTTTATTTAAAAATGTCTATAATTAACGTTTATTCCAAGAAAAATGATAAAAAGCAATTATTATTAAGCTGTTGCATGAATGAAATTGTGTGTAGCGCAGATCGAAGCCACGAATGTTGAGATGCTCCCTGAACTAAATTAGGCTTAACGGAGATTATTTGACCTTCAGTCTAATTCTGTTGACTCGCTCCTGAGGCTTAAAACATTGAAAAGTGGTTGTATTTTCTGGAAAGAGGTCAAAGAGCTTACACGTACTAGGTACATAGAAGAGCTCAGTAAGGTACAGTCGCTATAAAGGTATTTTTGATACTTTGGAACGGTGATGATGACTGGAAGAAGGTGCATCTTAAGAGTAAATATTTTCTCTATTTTTATATCCGGCGTTGATATACAGAAACAATCGTACTTACGTATGAAATACACCGTACTGACGTATGAAATACACCTCAAGCTGATTAAATCAAGTATGATTTAAAATCTAGAAAATACTGTCTACTTAAGGTTTCATACGGATGCGTAAGTTTGTTGGACATATTTCTCTGTTTAATGAAAACAATATTTGCTAATCTCACAGTTTGTTTTATCTCTATGTAAAATTTTACATTTTACACTAATTCAAACAGTACGATATATATTCTCATTTGTGCCGCCTCAGTATTATTTCATTAACTAAGCCTTTTCCCTACTCAGCTTCCAACTGTGGCGGGCGCTTCCCTTACAACATAAAACATTCTCTTTAGGAGATGAATGTAGGAATGACAGAAAGTAGATCTCAACGATTTTTTTTCCTTTCGGAATGTTAATTATTTTTTAATGATAATAGTTTGTTTAATTTATTTTACTAGGTTTGTTGTTTGTAGTTAAGCACAAAGCTAAACATTGGTGATCTGCCCACCACGGATATCGAAATCCGGTTTCTAGCGCTTTAAGTCTGCAGACACACCGCTGTGTCACTGTGGGGCTATTCTACTAGGCGTTTGACGTCTGATAGCAACAATATGAAATGCTATATACTAAGTCAAAGTAAGCAAAACATGTATGTAACTATAAGTTAAGTTTCAAATTAAAAGATATTCCAACTATTGAGTTTATTTTCTTCACTAGCTAATTATGTTTTATTCAAGGCTAAATAAATCATCTTGTTTAAAACACACATATATATACATCTACGGAACATAATTTACTCTCCTTTAAATACTTTAAATGATTGTTATTAGTAGAAATACAACAAAGATAAGAGTGGTAATTTGATAAGTTTAGTTCCAACTATGGCTCTTCTCGTTAAATGTGAAAGGTTATCTATGCAATAACTCAGGTAAATCACAACATGTTAAAACCCACACAGAACTGAGCTCTGTTTACATAGATATAAACAATACCACTCGTATCCTTAAAAGTACAAAGCTGCTTTCGAATTCTCATAGATTTCACTTCTGGTTTACCTATCAATTTTTAACGCTTTTTATGTATATAATGCGTGGATGAAACAAAATGTCAAAATGATTTCTTAACACAAAGGTTACGTGAGAAGCTACATTTGTTCATATCAATGGGATTCCCCTTTTCACACTAATCCTTTTAGGAAATAAACAGCTTCGCTTGGGATTTTGGAGCTGGGAACGACACCAAAAGGTTAAAATGAATTTACCTTTATTCACCAGGAAGATTCGAAAGGTTTATATTTGTTTGATTTTCTATGAACCTTGACTTACTCTGTCAGATTGTTTCATTATGACAACAAATGACAATAGAATGTTCGACTAATTTATGCATTATTTTATTAAATTATACACTTTTTCGTGCAAACATAATTAATTTGGTTAGGTACCGTTTAATAATATCCAATAGTCAAGTTATTGACAAACAATTATTATTTAGACCAGACCTCTTTCAATTATCATAATTTCTATGGCCTATAATATTCAAAACTTTTAATATTTAAAATTAAAATGAATGGTTGTAAAATATCACGGAAGATGGCGCTTGAAAATGATTACTTGATTACCGAATCATTGAAAGAGTGTGTGTGTATGTGTTTTGTTATAACAAAGCCACATCGAGCTATATGCTGTGTCCACCGAGGGAATCTCATTGAAAGAAGAAGTCTGTAATCAAAACGAAATTAGCTTACAAGTGCTCTATGATTTTAAGTTGAAGCAAACCAACATGGAACGTTTGGTGTTTTTGATAGCTAGAAAAAGCTGCGTAAGAAAAGATGCAGTTAATAATGTGTTTTTTTGTTTCAGTTTTTTTTTTTGAGCACCATAAATATTGTATAAAATTTTAAATCACATTACATAATTTATCGCGAATACTGAGTTACATCGTCAAGCTTGGTGGAAGCCTACACGGAAATTTGAAATAACTATTTTTTACTGTGTTAGAAAACTAATATTGTTGACACTGTGAAACATTTAAAAAATATATTTCATTATGAGATGAATAAAGTGGGTGGGAACAATATTTGGACTTCAAGTATTATCTTCATATAGTACGAACACGTTCTTTAGCGTTAAACTTGTGTACTTCAGACTGATTGCACAAGTTATCGAAACATCGTACCTGTTCTAAAAACAAATCTTACTGTAAAAGCTGTAACTTGTAATATAATATATATACGATACATGGTTACTGCCTACAGCACACAATAATCCATTTTCAAATAAGTAACGCAACAAACAAATTTATTATTTGACGAAGAAAGAAGTTATCATAATCTAATCAAATTATGTTATGCATTATTTCTTTCAGTTTCTTCATTTTATCTTTTTTTTTTCTCAGCCCATATTGTGATACTTTTAGTAGCTCTATTTATCTCATTATTTTCATCTTCTGGACCTATCAACTTATCACTTGATACGACTTCAGACCTCGTCTGCAACAAAGAAGTGTGTGCGGCTCTTCCCGACGCTTTCCTTTGTTTCTTTATTGCCCTGCTATGCACGATCAAGTAGTTATCCAGAATCGACATCCTGTTTTAGTATCGGCTACGGATCATAGTCTATTATCGTGGAGGCCAAATGTCAACTAATAGTTAGCCTGTTAGGCTACGGATCTAAAGGTCCTCTTGAACATGCTCCGGATTGTCAGTTGTGGGAACGTTATGAAAGTAAGAGCCAATTTATCTAATGAATTAAGGACAGGCAATTAGGCGGCGGGTGCTGCTGACTGGCTGCATTTTCTCTGCCATACAGTTCCAAATTAGGGATGGCTATGACTATGAGGGTCTTTAATCTGACCATTTAGTTCATGTGTTGTTTAAAATCCAATTCAGGTTGAAAATATTAAATACATGTTAATGTTGTTAAAAACTATATGTAAAATCAATCAGGGTCTATGTCGAATGGAAAGCGTCATAATATAAACACTTTTGTTTTACTATGGTAACATTGCTAATAACAATGTACACTCAGTCGTTATAATGTGGCGAATAGAAAATGGAAAACCTCATAATATAAAAACTTACATTGTGATTGTTATGATTATTTTATATTAAGCTGATTTGTTTGGATACTGATTCGTTTTTGTTGTTATTAAACATTTCATTGGCTTTCAAGGACCTCACAGAATACTGACCCATTTCAACTTCACAGATACTTCAATACCACCACAGATCTCAAGCTTAATTTCCAAACAAGTTTAGCTTAACTGGAAGACGTTCTATGCTTTCTTTTCGTTTATTTACTAGAATCTTGATACAAATTCTATTAAACCGTTGTGGAAAAAATCTGGGCCCTCTTAATTATAAATATTTCTATGATTGTTTAACTAATTTTTAACATTATAATCCATGTAAAACTAACTGAAATGTCTCAAGAAAGCTTTGTTGCTTCGATAAAACTAAAAGCCCAAAGTAATTTTAAAAAAGTCAAGCCTTATAAAAACACTTTCTTGTTTGAGGAAACGTAAGATGTGCAATAGTGCATACGCTTAACACAAGTTCAGAATATATGAGATCTAGTCATAATTACTCCCCCTTTTTATTTTTTCCAGCTACTTTACAGTTGCAAAAGAACAATGCAATCCTGTATATGACTGAATATGGTGTTTTTATTGCAGTCTTGCTATATTTCAAAACATTAAAGAGAGGTGACTGTGCAAATATTACATTCTTAATCGCCATGCGCCATAGAATTTACGGTGCATGTAATGAATGTTGCTAAACAAAGTTTCCCTAACTTAAAAGTTATATATAACATTTTCTAAGCCTTACCTATTCTGCTTAGCGAAGTTTTCGTTCTCAATAATACACCTACAACATCTAATTTGATCATTCCGAGTCAGAATGTATAGCATGCAAAGCCAGATAAAATCTAAAGGCCATATGTAGGACTAGATCTAAGCTTAGCGTTACTAGTTTATTATATTATCCATCCCCTCCTACCTTTATAAACTATATAAGAAATTATTTTCTTTACGAAATATTAAACAGAGTAAAACCACGCAATCCAATGAACGTAAAACAACAACTATAGCAAAAAACAAACAAAAACGGTATCTCTTTCTTTTTGTCATAAAGTTGAAATTATGTAAACTAATACCACTTCTTAATTCACAACCCCTGACCCCGTTATCCTCCCGTTTGAGGACAAAACGTTTGAGGGTGGTTCCTAGATAAAAAGATATCGCTAATTAAAAACATCTCGGTCTTGTGTCTGCAAGTGTTATCGTTTTTTATTTTCATAAATCGAATCCAGAATTTAAAAACATC